CCAACGCTGTGGAGAAACCTTGGGTGACTGTCCAGGCAGCTGGCTGTTTCTGTCAACTCACATTTTTTTTTTTTTGGAAGTTGCTTGCATGCACTTTCTGTTTTTATTTTTACTAGGTAATATTATTTCCTTCTTGGGTCTCTGAGGGAGTTGAAGATTAGTTAGTTATAGTTGAAGAGTAGTTAGTTATAGTTAAAGATTAGTTAGGATAGAAAGTAAATTAGGTACATTTTGGACTATTGCTGGAGGGCTTCTCTCCAGGTTCCACCAAGCCCTGCAGTCCCACAATCCACGTATAAAATAATCACTCAGACGCTTATATTACTTATAAACTATATGGCCGTGGCAGGCTTCTTGCTAACTGTTCTTTTATCTTAAATTAACCCATTTTTATAAATCTATATCTTGCCACGTGGCTGGTGGCTTATCGGCGTCTTTACATGCTGCTTTTCATGGGGGTGGCTGCAGTGTCCCTCCCTCCTTCTTCCTGTTTCCCCAATTTTCCTCTCTCCTTGTCCCACCTATACTTCCTGTCTGGTCACTGGCCATCAGTGTTTTATTTATATAGAGCAATATCCACAACATTGGACTTACCAAAATAGAATAGATAATGGAATTATTTCTCTGAATTTGTCAAATACAAATGGACTAGACATTGTTTGGGTATTTACTTGTATATATGCTATATAGTTATTGTACTTTTGTATATACTTTTTCTTATGTTAGTTCTAAACTTTTTCCTTTTTTCTTTTTATTAAAATAGAAAAGGGGAAATATGGTGATATTTTATTTGTACTGAAATGTGATTTTATTTGTATGTTAATAAATAAAGTTGCCTGGGGGTCAGAGCTAACAGCAAGCCATGCAGAAGCTGGGCAGTGGTGGTGCATGCCTTTAATCCCAGTACTTGGTAGGCAGAGCTAGGTAGATCTCTGTGTGTTCAAGGATACAGCCAGCATGGAGACACAGGCCTTTAATCTCAATACCAACCATAAAAGACCTGGAGGTCTGTACAAACAGGCAGTGACGGGGAGGTCATGTGGTTGGGTTTACAACCAATGAGAAGGCAGAACAGAAAGTCAATAAAAAGGACAAACACACAGGGTGTAGGTCTCTTGCAGAGGAGGACAGCAGCGGCAGTGTAGGGTAAGGTTTTTAGCTCTTAGCTTTTGCTCTGACCTCTTGGGCTTTTTAACTTTGCAACTGGCTCTGTGTTTCTTAACAAGACGGTTACATCTACAGACACAAATAAAGACAAGTAGCCCAGGTGATCCAGCCTCTCAGAATGCCTCAGTTACAGTTTCCTCAAAAATCTACATCCAGAACAATTTCAAAGCTGCTAGCTGAGATGGTCCAGCCTCACAGATTACTCAGCCAAGACTTCAGATAAACTCTACACTTTCTTATCACACAGAAACTAAACAAAAAATAATACAGCCAGCTAGCTCTCCCAGAACTTGACAATTATGCCAGTTTTCTAAGAGTCCCCTGGAGATGCTGTTGCCCCCAGATAACAGGAAGCAACCTAAAGAATACAATACCCTCATTCTCACAAAGTGGGGTGGGTGGTTTCTGGTCATTCAGTGAATGTTTGTTATTCTTTAGGGAAGTTGGTTGCAGGTTGTTATTGGTCATGGTCAGGGAGGAAACTAAACAATGGGGGTTCGATTCAGGGATCTTCTTCCAAAAAGGGGGGGGGAGGAGAGGGATATAGCAAAGGGTAGATTATTGAATCTACTTTTTTTTTTTTTTTTGTTTTTTTGGTTTTTTTTTTGGTTTTTTCGAGACAGGGTTTCTCTGCGTAGCTTTGCGCCTTTCCTGGAGCTCACTTGGTAGCCCAGGCTGCCTCGAACTCACAGAGATCCGCCTGGCTCTGCCTCCCGAGTGCTGGGATTAAAGGCGTGCGCCACCACCGCCCGGCTGAATCTACTTTTAAACTAAAAAAAACAACCACTAGTCTCATATTTCACATTGGTATGGATTCTTGTATACTGACACAAATTTTTGGGGTTTATTTGTTTTGTTTTTTGAGACAGGGTTTCTCTATGTAGCTTTGGCACCTTTCCTGGAACTCACTCTGTAGTCCAGGCTGGCCTCAAACTCACAGAGATCCCCCTGCCTCTGCCTCCTGATGCTGGGGTTAAAGGCATGTACCACCACTGCCCATCTTTACTGATACAAATTTAAGGTTATTTTTTAATTATACTGTATATATTTTTCTACTTTTGTTTAAGGTATTATACCTATGCAGCTCATTTAAAAATGTAATGTATAATTAAGAAATACATGTTAGTAGTCATCTATAATAATCAAACTTGTAGTCAGGTATGTTTTCAAGGTTAAGCCTAGGTTTGTTAGCACAGATATACTTAATAGAAAATGGTCCTCAAACTTGTCAGAGATCTGATGACTATGACATCTAAAATGTTTAATGGAAAAAGCTTACTGTAACAGACAGAGGCTCCCAGCTCCTAGCAGTGACTCTAAGGTCTCCAAAGAAGATGATGGGGCACCACGACAACTCCACCTAGATTGTGGTAATGCTAACCACTGGGCAAGACTGCCCCATTGCTGCACCTGTCCCCAGGCCCCTGCCCAAACTGAGGACAAGCTAGACACTGGAGAATTGATTGCCACACATTGCCTAGACAAAGTAAGGTCAGTCTCCTCCAAGTTCCTCCTCCAAAGGAAGCCTCTCACCCTTTGGGCCTGGTGGCTGAAGACTGATGCTGTCCTATATCTCTGCCCCCAATGCCATGGAGCCCACAGGGGCCTGGGATGACCACTAGGGAATGGACTGGTCTCTGTCATTTTAATTGATATATAGGTCATTTGGATTATACTTCATGCTATAATCTATCCTTCTCAGATCTCTGATGGTATTGACGGCAAGGCTAACTACAGCTTTGTCAGCTTAGCAGCAGCAGGCAACCAGGTTCTTCCCCAAGGCTGTAGTCAGCTTGTTAGCTCATTCCATATGTAAAAATCAAGCCTCGGGTATCCTGTTGAGAAAATGTAGACAAGTTTGCCTTGCTAACAGGCTTCATATTAAAAGATAAACAGATTTCCGTTATAACTTTCCACTAAAGGAACATGATTTAAAATGATTGTTCCAAGTAATAACTGCTTGTTTCTCTGGTAAATGATTAAATGGAAAGAAAAAAATGTTAAAGTCTGTGCAAGTTTTCAGGATCTAAAAAATGTTCTAAGGTATATAAAGGTCTGAGGATATGAGAGTCTATGTAAGTTCTGACAGTCTAAGACATATGAAGGTCTGAGGATGTGAAAACTAAAATAAGTTTTGAGGGTCTCAGAAAATGACTCGAGATGTAAATGAAAACTGTGAAGATATAAATAAATGATTTAAGGTATGTGAAAATGGGAAATGTTTCAGATTTCTTTCCCCTTCTATACCATTGCTACACTAGGATTTCAAAAGTTCAGAGTTTTAACATTTATCAGTGGAGTTCTGATAAGCTGGTAGAGCACTAACTACTCACTGTTCAGTCACAAGTTCGAGATTTTGGATTCCTTTGGATTGTCTTCAAAGTATAGACTTAAAGGTGCATCTCATTGGGCTAAAAACATCTCTGTCCAATCTATATTTGGCTCTCTGGACAGAGCAAATCTATAGCTTTTGCTAGGATTCAACAGTGTGAGTCTCCTCCAGCTATTTTACAGACACCTGTTGCCTGTCTTTTCTACAATGTGGATTTCAGTGCAATATTGGTAATGCTAATATATCTGGAAAAAAAATTTTTTTTTTTTTTTTGGTTTTTCAAGAAAGATTTTCACCATGTAGTTTTGGTACGTGTCCTGGATCTTGCTCTGTAGACCAGGCTGGCCTCAAACTCACAGAGATCCACCTGGCTCTGCCTCCAGAGTGTTGGGATTAATTAAAGGCGTGGGCCACCTCTGCCTGGCTATGTAAAACTTTTTTTTTTTGTTTGTTTTTTGAGACGGGGTTTCTCTGTGTAGTTTTGGAGCCTGTCCTGGATCTTGCTCTGTAGACCAGGCTGGTCTTGAACTCACAGTGCTCTGCCTGGCTCTGCCTCCCAAGTGCTGGGATTAAAGTGCTAGGATTAAAGGCATGTGCCACCACCGCCTGGCTATCTAAAACTTTTATGTCTTTTTGTTTTTTATTTTTTATTTATTTATTTATTTTTGTTTTTTCGAGACAGGGTTTCTCTGTGTAGCTTTGCACCTTTCCTGGAACTCACTATGTAGCCCAGGCTGGCCTCGAATTTACAGACATCTGCCTGCTTCTGCCTCCCAAGTGCTGGGATTTAAGGTGTGTGCCACCACCGCCTGGCTTGTGTCTTTTTGTAAACTAAAAAATTCATGTAAGCTTCAGAGAATCAAAGGAGTCATAAGACTTGGATCCACTTCTCACAGGTCTAGGACTCCAGATAAGTACATCCTAAGTTTCTCCACCTGTCTATTCCTGAGGATGGTATTTTCCTTTTTCCTGGTCTTGGAACCCCTTGCCTTCCTAAATTACTAGGATTAATGAGATTGAAATCTCCAAATGTAAGATTTTAAGTTCGTAAACTTTAACTTCTATCCCTAGTCTGTATCTGTCTCAGCAGATTTCCACTTGACTGACAGACACATCCAAGCATCAGCAGCTGACTACAACCTTCTCCAGACTTCGAGCCCTGGACATGCTGAAAGCTGATGTGAACCAGTCCAGCCGATGTGAATGCTCCCTGTCTCTTCAGCTGGGTCAGCAAACCAGATGCTTCTGATGAACGCCCCATTGCCTGAATTCCCTGCTTGCCTTTGACTAGCCTTCCAGCCTTCCTGGGCCCTGACAACAACATCCTAGTCTCAGTAGGAAGTAGTTACAGAGAGAGTGTCACTCCTTGTTCCCAACAGGCTAGAAAGTTAGATCAAAAGGAAACTCCCTGGCACAGGCCACAAAATAGCTACCTATAGAGCCTATTGGCATATCAGGAAAGGTGTCTGTTAAAACCAAGTAGGCCCAGATCTATCAACAGAAAGATTCATTAGCTGAAATAGTTCTATGGGTAATGATCGGTCACTCTACCTGGTCTATGTAAGGTTGTACAGAGGTTATTTGTAGCATGCATCTTAAAAGTTCTTATTAATAAAATCAAACCCAAGGCTAGTTATTGGGGTCAATGCTGGTAGTTCAGAGAGACAGAACAAGCCACAGCTATCTCACCTTGCCAATTCCTTAGCTGGTCCTGTTTCCTCAGACTGGAGGCCTCTGAGTCCTCATCTGGAATGGGTCTCAGCTGAATTACTGCTCAAAAGCCTGAAGCTTAACCAGGCCAAATGCTTAACCAGCCAAAATGCTTAACCAGCCAAATGTTTCTAGTTTCTGGTCTTCACGCCTTATATATCTTTCTGCTTTCTACCACCACTCCCTGGGATTAAAGGCTGGCTTTCTGGGATTAAAGGCGTGTGTCACCATGCTTGGCTATTTCCAATGTGGCCTTGAACTCACAGAGATCCAGAGGGATTTCTATCTCTGGAATGCTAGGATTAAAGGTGTGAGTGCCACCATTTTCTAGCCTTTGTATCTAGTGGCTGTCTGTTCTCTGACCCCAGATAAATTTATTAGAGTACACATATTTTGGGGAACACAATACCACCACAGTTATTGTATAACTTCAAGAGAAAATAGTTGTTTCTATACAAACTACTCAGAAATCATTAGAAATAATCCAGCTGTACTAAAAAAAATGAAGAAAAGAAAAGGAGACCTGAGATGAAGTAAATAACTGGTCCCCATTCTCATTTCCAGGTTCCTTCTGGATAGTAATTCTGATGTCAGCCATCAGAAGGCCTTTGGCCCTGCTGCTTCTGCTAATTGCTGTTGGCTCTTGCATCATTGATGGCTTAACTAAATGATAATCCCTGTCTGGGTACCCTTAAGCTGATGGTTATTAGATCCCAATATAGACAGGTACCCATCACAGAGCCAAGGATTTGACTCGGGACACAACTCAGTGGGGGAATGGGAGAGCCAAAATTACAGTTTTAATTACTATGCCTAACAGATCCATGAAGCAAAAATGTCTGATCTGCAAGCGTCTTGCTCAAGGACAGATCCTGAAATGCTGGAGGCTGTTGTTTATGGGAGATGACAAGCCACATGTTTTTCACTCCCCTACACAAGTTTGTTTGACCCATCTGCACCGGATGTGCCTGATCACATGTGGGCAGGATGTTCACAGGCAGGAAATACATCAGGATATACGCTTGCCCAGACTGATGTAGGCTGGAGTTAAATCAGGCAGGATGTATGCTTGCCCCGATTGGACCTGATGGGAAATGCAATTTTTCCTTCTTAAGCTGTTGCAAACCATGACTCAGGGCCATTTTCTAGGAACCTAGGTATGGACCCGGCCAGCCACCTGGCCAGTATTTAATTAAAGCTTGCTTCAATTTGGCTGTAAACTGTGTTATTGGCCTTATTCTCCATTGGTGGGATTAACAGTCAAGAGCTCAGAACCCTGACTGGCACCAAGAAAGTGCCCAGTGGACGCTATTTTTAGCCCCTAAAAGAAAAACAAAAGTAACAAAGTAACAAACGGTTGGTGTTTGTTTCTGACTCTTTTGGGGGGGGGCTGCCACCAGCTCCTAAATAAATCACACACAAGGAGGCTTATTCTTATGTATGAGTGCCTGGCCTTGGCTTAGTTTCTAGCCAGCTTTCTTTAACTTAAATTACCCTGTCTACCTTTTACCTCTGGGATTTTCCTCTTCTCTTGTTCTGTATCTTACTCTTACTCCATGACTGGCTGTGTAGCTGGGTGACTGGCCCCTGGAGTCCTCCTCCTTCTCTGGCTCCTTGCTCTTTCCTCTCCCAGATTTCTCCTTCTAATCTGTGCCTGCCAGCCCCTCCTATCCTTTCTCCTGCCTCGCTATTGGCTGTTCAGCTTTTTATTAGACCATCAGGTGTTTTAGACAGGCACAGTAGCCCAGCTTCACAGAGTTAAACAAATGCAACATAAGCAGAAGAAACACACCTTAGCCAGGCAGTGGTGGCACACGCCTTTAATCCCCAGCACTTAGGAGGCAGAGGCAGGTGGATCTCTGTGAGTTCGAGGCCAGCCTGGACTACCAAGTGAGTTCCAGGAAAGGCGCAAAGCTACACAGAGAAACCCTGT